TTCAACCCATCAGTTTACTGGGTTATAAATTTTCCATGGGGTTCTGGGGTTACTCACCTCATTTTACAAACGCAAGAAATATTGCAACGTACCCTTTATTACAAGATTTACGTTAATTCGCCATTGATTGGAGAATCTATGACGTAAGACTTAAGAGCCTCTCAACTTCTGTTGCATCGATTTGTAAAGGCACGTGTTTGAAGAATTGCAAAATCATTTGAAGCAAAGACGTAAGCATACTAGACAATCCGGCTATATCTGGAATGAACTGCACAGAATTTAGCGCCCTTTATAGATTTCCTACCATAGGATATTCACCCCTTAGGTAGCTGAAACTGAGTGGGCTCACTCCAAGTAAGGAGTTAATGTTCGATCTCTCCGCGGGGCGCTAGGGAGAGCTTCGAGTCTTTATTTATCAGCTCCAACCTGTTTAGACCCCCCCCCCATTAGAATGGTGACTAATAGTGGCACTTTGTTCTCCTGAGGTGGGGGGATAATGATACCGCGGTAGCGCAGTGGTATATACGCTCGTCTCGGAAAGTGACACACCCGTATTGAAGCTCACCGCAGGGCGTTAGGAGGGGCATCCATCCTTAATTATCCAGCTCCAATGTGTTTTTGTCCCCCAGTCATGGGGATTAATTGTGACACAGAACGGTGCTGTTTCTCCCCAGCAAATGGTCTAAGTCTTGCTTTGATTCGGTCACCCACCTTGTAAGATGGAATATGGACCTCATACTTACTGTAGCTAGTCACCGTGGCTCAAGCGGTAGCATCCGCGACTCTGAGGCGTCAGGTCGAGGGTTCGCGCCCCGTCACGGTCTGAGGTTAGCAAGGGCATGCACTCAGGGTAACGATTACATATGCCAAAACAAGTCCTTCGCAAGAAGGCAGCCGTCCTTGCCCTTGGTTGAAAAGGGAGTCCGTGACGTAAAACCGGAACGGAACGAACTTATTGTAGCTACATTTTTATTGTTTTTTGTTTTTGTTTATGATTGTGACACCAGGACGGACCAAAAAAAAAAATTACCCTCATCAGGCCTGGGTACGAAGAAAATATAGAGAGAACCAGAGATCGGGAGTATATTGTGACTTGTCAGATGTGAAGGGATAATAAGACATGTGCAACGAATATCCAAGAATATTCAGTGTTGATGTAGGCATAGAAAGAGAACCGTTACTGAAGGAGGACTTAACTGTAGCTAAATTTTTATTACGGATATCAGCCGAATGCTTGTGCCTCGTGAATCCCACCTCGGGTAGGCTTTTGTAATTCAGAAATATTTACCTTATTAACCCATCTCTGTTGTTGTTGTTGCTATTATTATTGTTGTTCACTGAGCTGCCTGGCCGAACAGCCCCAAGTACTTGGAAGAAGATCACTGCCGATCCTAGGATTTTCCTCAGATCTCAGGGAGTGTATGAAGTGTTGGTGGCGCATAAGGTTGTGTGCAGCTTATTGTATTGACCAGTATTTCGCTTTGCAAATTTCTCTCAGTGAGTATTCCTACACTAAGAAAAAAATTAGTCTTATATCCTGCAGAGTACATTTCTAACATATAATCAGGTTAAAGATTATAGTGTTTATATTGTTCTTGTGATTGTGTTTGTGAAAGCATGTAGACTTATGTAAATGCAGTAAATTGTATTTGTGCATATGCTGAAGGCTGACATTGCTTTACTATTTTATTTTGGGGTTTTTATTTTCTCGTCAATACTTATAATAAAGTTCATATAGACATAACTTCTACTAGTACCAATAATAATAATAATAATAACAATAATAATAATAATAATAATAATAATAATAATAATAATTTTAATAATATTTATAACTTAATAAAGTTGTTACAAAGAAATAATTGTTACTATTATTATTATTATTATTATTATTATTATTATTATTATTATTATTATTATTATTATTGTTATTATTATTATTATTATTATTATAAGTCGACACAAACTATAATTCTCTACTTAATAACACACTAACGTGTATTCCGTAGATTTCCCGTGGTAGAATAATTGCATAATTGCTGACAGTTGATTGATGGATTGATGGTTGATTGATTTGATGCGTTTAGTGATAATTTCTAATTGGCATATTGGACATTTGATGGGAAAATGCCGTCGTTATAATCTATCGCTTGTAGCAGAGGATAGCTGGATAGCTCGATTGATTTGATTGATGAACTAGATTTCTTGATTGCTTTAACCGCTAAACTGGGTGGCTTGATTGATTTGATTGATGAACTAGATTGCTTGATTGATTTAATTGCTAAGCCAGGTTACTTGATTGATTTGATTGATGAACTAGATAGCTTGATTGGTTTAACTGCTGAAACAAGTTGCTTGATTGATTTGATTGATGGACAGGGGTAATTACTTTTCATAAACAGGTACATTCGACTGTATGTATGGATTTTACAGAGCATAAATTATTTATGGTGATCATTTTGGGTAAACCTCTATGTATATTCATGAATTGTCAGTGCTCACTGAGTTCGATTCCTATACAGGGGAAGTTATTGTTTTAATTAGACGGTACATCCGACATTCAGTGTCTAATTTTGGATCTTGTATAGAAGAGTAACCGTAAGGGGTCCTGGGGATATTCATATTTACAAGGTAAGTCACCTTAACCTAACCAAACCTAAAGGGGGGTTTACACGGTCAGACGGTTCGTCAAACGCGGTTCGACAGACAAGTGTTTGAAGTGATGTTCAAATGTGTGAACGGGGTATTTGGTTGTCGAACACGTTTGTCGAACGTGTTCGACAACCAAATACCCCGTTCACACGTTCGAAAATCACTTCAAACACTTGTCTGTCAAACCGCGTTCGACGAACCGTTTGACGGTGTAAACCCCCCTTTAGGTAACATTTTCCATGGTTATTTAACTTTATATGTGAGTGGCCGCAGTGGCCCAGTGGTAAGGTGTGCGACTTTGATTCGTCAGGCCGTCGGTTCGAGGCCCCCCCCCCCGGGGTCTGAGGTTAGAAAGGGCATTCTCTTGGGGTAAAGGTCACACTACAAAAACCAATGTCCCTTACTAGAAAAGGGAGTTCGTGACTTAAAACAGGATCATCATTTAACTTTGCATGGGGTTTTGGGGGTTACTCAGCTTTACAAGATCCCTAATTATTGCTGAACGGGCGTGAGGAACCTTGAACTTGCCAGTTTCAAGAAAATTTGTCCTTTTCTGGTTGATGAAGCCTCACGAACCTTAGAGATTTTCCCAATTTCTAAGGATTCTTTCACTCCCTTGACTAAACTCTTCGTCCTCCTGTCTTGTTTTGTTTTGATTTTCTTCCTTAAGTTCCTGTTCGTAGACTGGTGTGTGTGTGTGTTTTTTTTTTTATGATTATTTATCTATATGTGGTGGATATAGTTAGGTGTTAGTTCAGAAAAGATGTTTTATTACTCTAGTTCTTACATATGCTATGGTTACGTTTGTAATCACTTTTAATATCAGCGAAAACCATTTGATTGCTCATGTTTAATACTACTACTTCAACATACATACATATACCTTGGCTGTTTCCCCCTTTAATTGGGGGGTAGCCGACATCAAAAAAGGAAAACAGTTTGGGGAGAAGTTATTCTCCCCTCTACTCCCCCTCTTCTTTGACGTCTCACAAGAGGTTGGTACAAGGGGGGGGGATTCCCAGTCCCCCCGCCCCGTCCACTTTTAGCCGCCTTTTACGACACGCAGGGAATACGGTGAGGCTATTCTTTTATATTGTGCCCGCCCCACAGGGCACAGGATATATATATATATATATATATATATATATATATATATATATATATATATATATATATATAATATATACACACATATACATATACATATACACACACACATATATATATATATACATATACACACACACACACATATATATATATATATATATATATATATATATATATATATATATATATATATATATATATATATATATATATATATATATATATATAAAGTTTATATTCACTGCACCATACGTATTTGTATATTATTTTTTTGAGACTTAATATTTATATTCTCAACTGCATCTTTACAAGGTAAGACCCAACCTCTGGCGGGTGGCCCATTCAAGAATCCACTGGGGGATCAAATCGGTCTCAACTTAGTGCCGGTTCCAAGCCCAGATCACGGTAAGCCTCGGTGCCAGGAAGAGCATGCGGCCGTAAAATTAAGCTATACCAACACAAGCTCCAACAGGGTAGTGCAAACAGCGACCCAATAAAACATAGGGAAAATGCTGCTGGGATGGAAGTAGCAGCTCGCCTAGGAGGTCCATAGATAAATAAATAAATAAAACAGTCCATAATAATAATAATAATAATAATAATAATAATAATAATAATAATAATAATAATAATGATTTATTATTATTATTATTATTATTATTTTTATTATTATTATTATTATTATTATTATTATTATTATTATTATTATTATTATTATTATTATTATTATACTCAATAGGTCCAGTGTGACTCTAACTAGTTCGCATAATACATTTTCATTAAGCTCTTAAAAGTATAGATACATTGATGAGATTATGTTCACGGAGGATCATGTCGTATGACTTCCGTCATGCTGAAGCCAGTCCGTCATGCTGAAGCCAGAATCTGAAACTTGTAACAAATCTTGAGGGGTAACGGTTGGTCGAGGGCACAGATATTTTATTACAATGTTTGTAGAAAGTGTCAAGGAGATATATGACCGGAACCGTGAGACTTAGGATCTGGCATCGAGTACCGGGAGAGAGGGTAGGAAAGGCCAGGAAGTTAGCCATTTCCTGAACCACAAGAAACACAAACATGTGGCCCGTACGTAAGTACATGCCCTGGAGAGATGCCCAATAGCTCCTCCCCGGAAGTAGGTGGGACTCCACTTCGAACCTGGCGTTGATTTGCAGGACTAGATGTCACTTGATTTCATTGGCAGGATTGGATGTCAAGCCACGCCCTGCCCCTGGGGGTATTTCAAGAACCACCCAGGGCAGACACAGTTAGTTAGAGTTAGAGACCGGGCCTTGCCAGCAGCAGAGTTAACTCAGTACAGCTGAGTTAGCCTCCCCCTCTTGGGGGTAGGACTCAGGGATTAGTCGTGACAGGAACTGTAGTAATAGGAGCTCTGAGTACATAGATGTTAAAATAAGAATAAACTATGAATAAGAAGATGTCTTTCACCAACCACACTACCATAATTATAAGTATATATACATAGAGGGAAATCCCTACGTCAGTGGTGACACTCGGTGGGATAATAAAACCTCTACGTCAGTGGTGGCAGCGGTGGGATCAATCCACGCCGACACTTTACCGAAGAGAAAGGAAAAAAAAAAAATAGAAGTATAAAAAATATATAGCATCTATGGAAGAAAAGTACAAGTGAAGAAACTTCAAGACGCTTACCAGCAGTGAGAGAGTGACACCGAGAAAGTCAGAGCTCCCCCTTCACTTACAGTATCATATTATGAGATCCAGCCACTCTCCCCCGCCTCCGTATTGGCAAGGCCCCCACCCCGTGCCCTGGTTGTAAAGACGCCTCGAGTCAAAAATTCACTTTTATACCTCGACGGCGCAAATGTAAAAGACCGTGAATGTCCGTCCATAATTCCCGCGACCGACTTCCTGAAATACTTGGGTCTGCGGATGAGAAGTGACGAGTGGTCAAATAGAGAATATTATAAAACTTTGAAGGAACTATTCCTAAGATATTTCTTAGTAAGCCGAAGTGTGACCGGAGCATTGAGTGAAAATGCCCATTACAAGAAGTATAAGTTGCCGGATCCGACCAAGAAGACGGCGATTCGTCGATTTTACTCGAAGAGAAGAAGGAGAACCCCCTCCTTCCTTGCCTTCTGCCATGAAGTTCTTCAGGACCACCTCCTTAAAATAGCTAAGTACTTGTGATCTGTATCCAGTGAGTAATGGGACAATTAGTAAAAGAAATTGAGGTCGGTGGACGCCGCCATTTTATCTTGTAGTTATGCTTTGACTCAGCCAACCCGCTTATAAGGGGTGTGGCGCTTAATAAGTTGATAAAAGTAGAATTTCTGTACCCATTACTAACATGGATAATTTGTACTAATAGCTATAAGCAGTAATAAACTCCATTTTTGTTATAATTTGAGTAATATAAAGAATTTGCGTTGGAAGTGTGTTCCATTTATTTGTATTAATGCCTAGATTGAATTTTAAGAACGCGAATGTATCGATTTTTTAATTGACAAATTTAACGCACGTGAAATCACTATTACAGTATATTAATTTCTTAAGTGTAAGAATTATAGTGAGAAATATACTTGAATCTGCTTATAAGGTTTTACTTAGAACACGTGTGATTTTCGAGAAAGGAATGTGGGAGTGACCATTCGATCTCCCAACCTCGTTATTATGAATATGTAGTAATTGTACTGAGCTTTGATATTTTAAAGTACGTGTAAAATCATTTTTATATAAATTTCTTAAAGCGTAAGAAATAGAGTGTTAAGATTGCGCCTGTTTTTAAGTTTTTTTCTTTTTTTTGTTTGTTTTTTTCTCCGCGGGAGGAATGTTTTAGCGAAAGAAAGACATAAATGACAGATTGTTTTTTTATGTTGTTATGATGAAGGGATTACTATTACGATACGTGTGTGGCATTTTATTTTTGAAGAATAAGAAATTTTGTGATATTGGTTAGAGATGAGTTTTTTTTATTTCGCGCTATGCAGGCGAAAGTAAGAGTAAATTAGAGTAATTTGTGCTGTCCTAGAATAGGGAAGGTTTTTCAGTGTCACCCAAACGTAGCTTCAAGGGAGTAGAATGTTTGTTTGTTCGTTAGAATGGGACCTAGGACTGGTGAGGAAGTCTGTGACCGCACGGCTCAGCCGAGATTTCACCGTTACTCTCCTTCAGAGAGATAAGGGAAAGGAAAACCAACATGTTGTAAATAAAAGGGACTTTCACAGACAGAAAGGAGATGATTGTCTTGAAAGTGATATAGCGAATGTGATAGCGAATGAATATGAATGACTGGGGATATACTGGGGGGGTTGCTCTAGGGGGTGAAATCGCGGAAAGCACCGTTAGGAAGCATGATTGGGGAGTCTGCGAAGATCGTTCCCCTGCTCCGCCAGGTCCTTCTGCATGCCATATCAGAGTGTATTTATGGGAGGTGATGCGCTGTTGCAATATCTAGTGAGGGATATGTTTGAGAAAGTAATTCTCCACCTGCCCAGATATGGTTGAAATGCCAAGTTTGTTTTATTTTTGTTTTGTCCCCTACTCCGCCATTGAGATTATTATTCGATTTCCGAGAGATTCCAAGATAGATGTTACGTGATAAAGGACGTGAATCTATGAATGATTCTTTATTTTCTTTGCTAGCTGCAGTATATACATTATCTGTCTGAAGAGATATGTTAGATTGATAAAATAAAACTTTGCGAGTTTTAGCCATGATAATGTTTTATCAAAATTATTTCAGCTTGGTCATAAAGAAAGAGTGAGAGCTGACAATAAACGTAAGACTCTATCGATAGTCATTGCTAACGTTTGTTCACGTTCATTTGTTTATTTATTTTATTATTAGAGATACTCTGCGACACTTTTTTATTTTCAGTACAAGTTAAAAGGAAGAGGCCCGTCTCAGCTGACACAGACTGGAGGCCACGACGTATTTCAAGGTCGCCCAGTCTCTCTCTCTCTCTCTCTCTCTCCTACCTTTCACTCGACTCTGAGCCTGACAGAGGCTCCGTTCAATGCTAAAAGAACGTTGCTGTCTTTGATTTTTTGTGTGTGTTTTTTCCAGCGAAGCTAGGCGATAATTGTGCCTACATTTCATTGCAGTCAATAGATTGTTGCATGCTGTTATTGCATAAATACTGATAAGATATCGGTAGTACCGCCATTTGCATAAATATTTTTGCCACATGTCGCAACTGTTTAGAGAATAGATAGAACTCCCATTGACAAATTGTGGAGCCAGCGAGTTGC